CAGGGGCCATGTATAACAAGATGAAATTTAAGAGGGAGAATATGATGAAGAAAGGAAGCAGATGGGGAAGGAGTAGGTTTTAATTAACTGTCAGTTTAATATGGTCTCAGAGTGGTGTGGCAGGAAAGCTGACGCAGCCTCTGACTGCAGTAATTGGAATGCACACACTCCACATGAGAGAAATTGCACTCTTTCCCTCTCCTCTGCACTCCTGGAAGATTGCTCCCAATTCTGGAGAAAAATATGGATTTGAAAGATGTGAGTCTAATGAGGATAGCCACAATGATGTGTGAGAAAGTATATCTACTGTCCCCAGGTGATTTATAAAACATGTAAAACATTGAGCTCTCTGTTTTGGAGGCTGGGAGGTTCAAAAACAGGTGCTGGCATTTCCTTGGTGTCACATGTGGAGCATCTCATCACATTATACCTGACAGAGGACATCACAAGGTGAGATAGAGCAAGTGTGTCCATGCTAAGCTCTCTCCTCCCTGTTAAGACCCCACTCTAATTTAACCATCTGCATATCTCAAGAGCCCCCTCCATCAATATCATTAACAGAGGGGCATTAATAGATTTCCAAAATATGAACTTTTGAGGGGCACAGTCAAGCTATAAAAGAGGGCAAAACTCAACCTCAAGGAACTAGTAGTGCTCATGACAAAATGAATTAAGTTTGGCAGAATGGTGTCATAGGTATATGAAAGTCATGATGGTGCTCTGAAAGACTCTAGGCATTGTGATTCTTCTTTTTTTTTTTTTTTAATATAGGGTCTCATTTAGCTCAGGCTGACTGCAAGCTCATTATGTAGCCAGGGATAAGCTTGAACTTGTGTCTTCTGTCTCCACCTTTCAAAGGCAGGGATTCTAGGAGTGTGTTACCGCGACTGGCTTATGTGGTTCTAGGACTACACAAATGGATTTGTGCATGTTTGACAATCAGTCTATCAACTGAGTTATAACTGTAGCCATAGGTATCGCTAATGTTTTAAGAGAATAGGTGTCATCTAGGCAGTGGTGGTGTAACTCTTTAATCCCAACCCTGGGGAGGCAGAGGCAGGCAGAAACTTTGTGAGTTCAAGGTTAGGCTGGTCTACAAAGGGAGTTCCAGGACAAACCAAACTGTTATACAGAGAAACCTTGCCTTGAACCTCCCCGCACTACCACCAAAAACAAAAGAAAAGAAAAAGAGAAAAGGTTTCAAAGGCGTTTAGAAATATAATACATGGGTTACTTTTTGAAACAGTAGAAGAAATACCAGGAACTAGATTCATTTTGAGAGGCCTAGGAAAAGCCCATAATTAGGAAGAATTGTTTAATAATGGAGATGCCCTGCAATGTGTAGGCATGTGCCTACATATCCACCCTCCCACATGCATGTAAAATAATAAATAAACAAATTTATTTTCAAATAAAAAGGAACAATGGTGTTTATGGGAATTATAGGAGAAAGAAGGGAGAAGAGGTTGACTGTGCATAATTATTAGAATAATGTAGCTATTTTTAAAAAATAGTATTATTTGGGGCTGGAGACATAGCTCAATGGTTAACAGTATTGGCTGCTCTACTAGAGGACCAAGATTTAATTCCCAGCACCGACATGGTGGCTCAAAACTATCTCTAACTCCAATTCCAAGGGATACAAATGGCCTGTGCAGGCACTAGGCACACACAGGGTCCATACAAATACATGCAGGTCAACACTTATGCACATACAATAATAAAATGCAAGTTAATGATTGTGTCACCGACTGAGTGATTGTATGTGAGGGAGGTCACATGAGTGTGATGGTGCTCAGAGGGCGACTCGCAGTTTTTTCCTTTTATCATACGCATCCTCAGAGTCAGACTCAGATTGGCAGCAGGTACCTTTACCAACTGAGCCATTTCATCGGTCCCAGCACAACTATTTTGCATGGCAATTATAGATTATAAATATATCAGTGCATACTTTTATAAATTATAGATATGTCATTACTACGTCTGTCAAACCCACAGAATATAGGACATCGAAAGGAACCTGAATGTAAACGACAAGACTGTTTGATAGCTGTGTGTCCAGGTATATTCATTGATTATAACAGACTGCTGGCCCAGAATGTAGGAAGTCAGAGAGAGAGTGTGTGAGAGCGTGGAAGATCCATGCAAACACTCCACTTTCTGGTTCACTTTGAGGTGGGCCCAAAACGCTCTTCAAAGTCTGTTTAGGGAGCTGGAGGTATATCTCAGAGGTAAAGTGCTCACTGGGTTGGATCCTCGGCACCACAAAGAGTAGTCTTCTTTTTTCAAAGATAAGTTGTCTCACGCATTCATAATAAGAATTGCCCATCTTAGGTGTTTCAATTTCAAACTTAGAATCCTTAGAACTTCTGCTTCCTCTCCTCCCTTCCCCTCCTCTTTCCTGTCTTCCTCTCATCTCTTCTTCTCTGCCCTCATCTTCCTTCCCTTCCGCTCCCTCCCCTTTCCTTCTGTTCCTTTTTTTTTTTTTTTTTTTTTTTTTTTGTTCAGACAGGTTCTCACTCTGTAAACCAGGTTGGTCTGTAACTTGCTTTATAGTTCAAAATGGCCCCAAACTCATGGCAATCCTTCTGTCTCTGCTTTCTGAGTACAGAAATTACAGGCATGGACCATATCTGACTATCTTTAAACATTGACCATGACTCTCCATTTTTGCCACATGTTAAACAAGTCTGTTGTAGTTTTTCTGAAAATATAAAAACTCCATCTTGAGTATGGATGCCAAAGTCAGTTAAGGCTTCCTGCCAAGTGTCAGTCAAAAAAAAAAAAACCCTAAATTTAGCCATTAAAATGTTTGAGATTTATGTATGCAAGCACATATTTTGAGTCCTATGGTCCATGGCCTTTGGGATACAGAATGGGGAGAAGACTGTGAGAATATAAGACTTCAATATATTTTTCTTCCTTTGTTAGTAAACAGAAATAGAGAGCTGGTTTTCACAAGAGAATTGTTAGCACTTTGGGTAAAGAGGACTGATGCTTGATTCTCTCCAGCTGTCAGTTGATTTACAAACTTTGAAAAGTGGTTTTGGTTTTCCACGTTTCTGAAACCCATCTTCTCTCAGTAACCTCCAGCCTGAGTTTACACAACGGGGCTGTGGGGTTTCTGAGGTGCGTCTTATACTAGAGAATATACTAGAGGAGGCCGGTGGTACTCTGAGCAATAACAGTGGGGATTCTGAGACCTTTTCTATCATAGCTTAATTCAAGTTGCCCCAGGTCATTATTTTCATCATCTGTATTTGTTTGATGTTTATCTAGTGACGGCTCATATAGCACAGGGAAGGTGATATCTAGAACCTCCATTATGGTCAGCACTGGGACTCACACTGAGAAGGGCTTCCTAGTAGGGGAATTGCTGAGATGTTGATATTAGTATAAAGAGAAATGAAGCCTGAGTTTTCTAATATTCTGTAAGAAAATGGAATCAGAAAGGGATGTTTTCATAAAAAAAAAAAAAGTCAGAAAGTAGAGGGTCCTAAAAAGAAAGGAAAATCTTCAGCTCAGAGCCTTAAGACTCCCACCCAGGGGATGAGAACCCAGCCTGCATGGTGCTGCAGAAATCAGCCCAGTATACTCAACATCCAAACTTCTGTCAGGCCCAGGGAGATGATGGGTCAGATGTTCCCCCAGGCCCTTTCTGTACAGCAGTGCACCTTCTGGTTGAAAAGCTAATCAGGTTCTTATGTGGGGCGAGGTGCCAGGGGTGGGGTGGGGGGAGGACCATCCCTTATTATGTGGTGTGATTGCATTCTTTTGTGAGAAAGGTGTGTTCTGAATTTATATAGTGGCCTCCATAGAGGAGGTGAAATATACCTTGCTTTTTCTTCCTCCCACTGTGTAGTAGGTAGGAGTCAAGTACTGATTCCACAATTCAAGCCTCCATGGCAGTGCCATCTGGAGGTTCCCTAGGATGAAATGGAAGCAGAGAGAGGCAAAGCTAAGAAAGGCAAGTGCAGGAGGGCCCTGCTCACATGTAACAACTCTCCAAGACTAAAGCTTCACTTCTCTTCCTCCCTCCCCCACTCCATGCTCCAGTCATCTTTCCCTAGGCCTGTTCTCCTGGGTATGCATAGGATTTCCCCTGTCCTGTCCAGATAGCAGCTCTGGCCTTCTTCCAGGACATTTCCTGGCTTCCCAACAGCTGCCTTGTAACAGCTGTAATCATGTGTTCAGCTGTCTTTGCATTACTCACATTTGTTTGCAGCAATCTGTGGATTCATGTCTCACACTAGACAGTGAGCTCTTTGAGGGTGAGGCAGGATCTACTTTATACATTGATTCCCAGTGCTTAACAACTGCAAAGAGTATACATGCCTATAAGAAAACATTTATGGCTGAGTGAAAGAATTAATAAATGAGTGAGTGAGTGAAATACTTCCCTGCTTTGCTGTACCTAGAGTTTGGATCTGTTCAGGAATTCAATCACCTGTGTTGATCTTACTGAGACAAATTCTGGGGTTGGTGAATATATCTTTTCTCCTCTATTATGTTTATAATGTTTCTTCATGAAAATGATAGAAATGCCACCTCTGAGGCCCATGTGTATATCATTTTTATCAGATGGTTAGTTGAAAAGCTTAGGTTAGTAAAGCTCCTAGTATTGATTAATTCCCAAATGAATGCACTGTGAAAAATCACTGTTTCTCTGCAGTGCCCAGTGTTAATTTTCATGCCATCCTGTTGGAACAGAAGGGAGTCTTTGGATTGCTTTAAAGGAGAGACCAGACAGGGAGATGAGGATACCCCTGCTTTCAACTTCATTTTTTTTGTAGTCATTCCTCTGCAAAACTATCTTAGGCAATAGATTTGCTGTTCTAAACATTGAAAAATACTGGCATTGTTCGTGAAGAATATAGAAGAAAGAATAAAGAAAGAAAATAGCTGTGTGTATTAATTATTGTTGTTAATGATGGTGAAAAGGTTATAGCATAAAATTTACCATGCTAACTATTTTTTCTTTTGTTTTTGTTTTTTTGCAGTGATGATCATCAAGCCCAGAGCCTCATGCATACCAGGCTGACATTGTACCACTGAGCCATACCCCTACCTTATTATATCTGTTTTAAAGTCTTCATTATAGTCATATTAACTATATGAACATGTTTGTGCAACAGATCTCTAGAACCTTCTTACCTTGTAAAACAAAACATGATAAGGTGTGATAGAATGGTATGACATTTTGTTATTAATTGTTGACTTCAGCCAGTCTTTTAATGTATATTCTTCTCCTCTTGCAGAATTTATCCATGATAGCATATATCTAGTTGCCTCTGTTATTTCCTGCATGAAATACTGGCATGCTAAACTATGATCCTTCAGTTTCAAATGCTGTGTCTAGACCTTATTTATATAGTGAAAACCTCTGAGGAGTAGGACTTCATACAAAGGATCTAATTTATCTTTCTTATTTGAAAATAGGTCCAAGGACCAAATGATTTAGTTGTAGTCACAGAATCAGTTAAGGGTAGCATATAGACTAGTTTTCTTATCAACTGATCCAACTTGCTTTACTGGCTTAATTAGCTTCATTGCAGTAATCAAGGGTTAGTGGACTATCTGCATGGCCTGAGCTATGTGTATATTAGCATTTTTTAAACTGCCATTGGTGGTCAGGAGGAAGGAGAACATAAAGGATGCAATGCGTCTAATAGCTAATTGCCTCATGCCAGGATCTGTATTATGAACTTGATTTAGACTGTTCCATCTTGTTTCCAAGTTTGAATTTTTTATTTTATTTTTATTCTTTAAATCACATGAAAATGTACATAGTGTAATTTTCCTATCTTAACCATTTTAAAGTATGTAGTTCCGTGGTAAATTGTTCTCTGTTTTGCATTATTATAATGAAATACCAAAGATGAGCTACTATATAAACAAAACCTATTTGTTTTATGTCATGGTTCTTATGGCTCAATGTTGGCAGGCCGAATCTGCCAAAGGGCAGCTTACTGACAGAATCTAGACGTGGCACAGGGCATTGTGTCGCAAGAGACAGAGAGCACTCACATGTGTGTGTGTACATGCTCTACAAGGAGTTTTATTATCACTTTACCAATGAGAGAACAGAGTGGTAAATATTAAATAACTTCCTTGTGGTCACAAAGTGTATGGAGGGGAGAGAGATGGATTGAATTCAGATATACTTGTATCTCAGTCATATTATTAGTGTTTGAAGCTGTCTCCCAATATTAGAAATACAGTTTATCTGTATCAGCATGATTGGTGAAAGTCCCTAACATTGCATGTTAGAGCCTTTATTTCTTTAATTTGAGGATAATCGAAAAGGAGCCTTTCTTAAATTTCTTTAAATTTCTCCAGTGTTTAACCTTTAATGTTTATCTACTTGCTGGGAATTAGCTGTTAATTCAAAGTGATTTTATCGTGCTGTAAATAGGTGGTAATATTGAAATAAAAGTAAACTTTATTCAAAGACACAGTTCTTTGGTGAAGTATACAATAAAAACATCAGTTTATGATGTCAAAAAAAATCATTATGCCCTTTACAGTTGAGGGAAAACATCATCTACCACAGTGTCTTCTCTAGGGAGCAAAACCAAAACACATGGAACTTTAAAAATCATACCCCCACTTTGGTAATAGTAATAGCTAACATTTACTGTCTTGAAACTGTGTGCCAGGCACTGTGCTGAATTCTTTGCATGCTGTGGTGTTTCAAATGATAATGGACCTCATATGCTCATATATTTGAATTCTTGGTCACTACAGAGTAGCATTATGTGAGAGGGATTAGGAGGTATGGCCTTATTGGAGGAAGTGTGTCACTGGGGGTGGGCTTTGGGGTTTCAAAAGCCCTAGCCTGTCCCAGTAGCTCTTTCTTTCTGCTGCCTGCAGATCTACATGTAGAACTCTTAACTACTTCTCCAGTGCCACATCTGCCTGCATCCCACCATGTTCCCCACCATGATGAAAATGGACTGAATCTCTGAAACTGTGAGCACACCCCAAATATTTTCCTTTATAAGAGTTGCTGTGGTCATGGTGTCTCTTCACAGCAATAGAACACTGACTAAGACACATGAATTATGGGGTTTAATCCTCCCAGCATCCCTATGGTGTCTGTACTGGGTGGTTTTGTGTATCAACTTGACACAAGCTAGAGTCATCAGAGGAAGAAGACTCAGCTGAGGAAATGCCTCCTTGACATCCGGCTGTAAGGCATTTTCTCATTTAGTCATCAATGGGGGAGGGCCCAGCCCAAGGTGGGTGGTGCTATCCCTGCCCTGCTGGTCCTGGGCTCTATAAGAAGGTGGGCTGAGGAAGCCATGGGAATCAAGCCAGTAAGCAGTTCTCCATGGCCTCTGTATCAGCTCCTGCCTCCAGGATCCTGCCCTGTTTGAGTTCCTGTCCTGACTTCCTTCAGTGATGAACAGCAATGGTGAAGTGTAAGTCAAACAAATCCTTCCTTCTCAACTTACTCTTTGGTCATGATGTTTCATCTCAGCAATAGAAACCCTAAATGAGACAATGTCTGTACTTGAATAATCATCCTGGAAAGAGGAAGCAGTAAAGAGAGAGATGAATAGCTGTTGCAAGGTATCTTAGAGTGTGGCTTTGTTTAGTAATTTATAGATGCCACCAAGTTTATGTGAGGTCATTAGGGTGAGCTCTACTTAGTATGACTGGGATCACTTGAAAGGGGAATGTGAGGTAGGCTAAGTTTAGGCTGTGAGACAGACACCTAGGCATAGAGATAGATGCACCCTGGGAAAAGACAGTGTGATGATGAAGTTTTGTTGTCAACTTGGTGGGTTTTAGAGTCATAATGGGAACAGATATCTGGGCATATCTATGAGGGGTATTCTAGATAAGGTTAATTGAGATAGGAAGACTGTCCCCAATAGAGATGGCATCATTCCATAGTCTGAGGTCCCAGACTAAAGAATAAATGAGAAAAGGACTGAATGAATGCCAAAACCATCTCCTCTCTGCTTCCTGACTGCATGAATGTGACCAGCTGCCTCAGGCTACTGTGCCCAACCTTCCCTGATGTATGATGAACTATACCCTGGCACTGTGAGCCAAGATAAGACATTCCTTCCTTAAAGCTGCATTTGTAGGATGTTCGGTTGCAGTGATGTCACAAATATCTAAGAATGACAGCCATTCTTAGAGTTATGTATCTATTGGCCATGGAATGCTAAGGACTGAGAGCAAACTTTAGAAGAGAAGAAGTCAGTCTTCTATCCTCCAGAGCTATGAGGTGCCAAACTTCTGCTGTTACACTATCCAGTGTTTGGTGCATTGTTCAGAAGACTAGCACAAGGTCAAAAGCAATAGCAAGCAGTAGGGTGGATGTTTGGACACATGTATCTATTAAGAATTCAATAACCATAATCTATTATTATATACAATTTCAACAATGATATTCACTATTGTAATTATTAATAGTGAATTCTCATTGTCCTTTCTCTCAAGCTTGTACTATTGTCTGCCTGTTCTGCTGTAGCTAGGTCATGGTTGCCATGCCTTTCAAAGCTCATTGACCTTCCTCAACACCCAATAGGAAACCAATTACATACACATATGCAACTTGGCAAGTCCAGATAACAACCTCCACTAAAAGGAAGTATACCTTTAAGAGCCTGCATGAGTCATCTGTAGGACCCTTTCAGGGCACATTTGTGAAATGATCCCCAAATACTTGCCTATCATAGTTACTTGTCTTATTGCTACAACAAAATACCCAACAAAAACAACTCCAGGAAAGTAAGGTTTGTTTTGGCTTATAGTTCCAGGGTACACAGCCCTTTATGTCGGGAAAGGTGTGGTAGCAGGTGCAGAAGGCGGGCCAGTTAAATTGCATTCATAGGAAGCAGAGGGTGATGAGTGTTTAGGCTTTCTCTGTCCTTTTGATTCAGTCTGGGCCCCCAGGCCATGAATGGTACTATCTGTATTTAGAATAGAGTCTTCACACCTCAGTTATCCTACTCTAGACAACACTTCATGTACATGGTCACAGACTTGTTTCCATGGTGATTCTAAATCTTATTAAGTTGACAATCAAGATAAACTGCCCAAACTGCCCAAACCTGAAGCCGTGCTTCCTGAGCTGGTAATGAGAGACAAGACTGACAGTTGAAGTCCTGTGTTTTATGAGGATTTATATGGAGAGTACTATTATGACTCTCAATTCTGTGTCAATGCCCACCATCTGCATATTTAGCCACAGAAATGTAATTTAACTCCTTAATTTTCCAGACCTGCAGATAATTGGCTCCATAGAGACACAGCAACTCATGTTCTTAATCCCAACATCAGAAATGCTGCTTACTAGCTTCCTTTGAAGTTAGGAAAATGGAGTGTACAAGAGAGAAGGATGCAGAGGGAAGTAGAGAACTATTTCTGGGTCCTTTATCATAACTACAGTGGATTTCAGCTGTTTTAAGATAAAGCAGACAGAGTAGAGCCAGATCCTATTACCCCACCTTATACCTTAGGGGAATTCTCATATGTTTTCTTTAGTAGAAAATAAGCAGACTTCTTTTCTTATTATATAGATTGTTCTCACAATTTTTTTTTGGCAAATTATGAACAGTTGAGTGAAACAGCCTTGTGAATAAAGCCACATAAGAGGCCTGGCTTGTAATTTATGTTTGGTATTGACCCACTTTGGAATTCTTGTAAGTCACGTGGCTGCTATGTCCTTGGTTGGGTTATTTATGAAATATCAGCTACATAGACCTCAAAGCTGTGGTATGCGGTTTTAGAAGGATGACTGTGATGGATTTCTTAAAACACAAAGTTGTTAAAAGAGTATTATTAGGTATAAAAGGGTATTATACCTCAGAGTTGTTTGCAGGATGTAGTGATGGTTCTAATTCTTAGCATATTTGGCATATTTGGGAAGTGTTAGACACTATTAGGCAACTATTTATACTTCTTTTCTTGTATAGCCCTTTACCATAGTTTTGGAGTAAAAATAATTCCACAAATCATCATTACATTTCAGTGACTCTGGCTATATCTAAGGGTGAATGAGTCCAGGTTGAATAATTATACAGCCAGCCACAGACAACTTAGGTTCAAGTTGGAGTGATAAGATTCATTTCTTTATCCTGACTTGACTTCCAACTCTGAACTAATTTCCCCAAAGCTCAACTGCCTTGAGTATTGGAATTGCTTGTTTATATCCTTTTATCTTGGCATTTGATAATAAATAGTTAGGCTATATTATTAACCTGGGATCCTTTCTGGCTTTTGTGCCTTGCTTGAGAAACTTAGATACCAAACAATAGATCTTGCATTTTCTTCATAAGAATCTCTAGATGACAAATTATTGGTATTATCAAGGGTTCCCTAGGGTATGCCATCTCATTCTTAGTGTAAGACTCAGACAAAGAGGAACAAAGACTTGGTTTCCATAAAATATTGAAGGGACAACTAGAGCAATTGCTCCCTAAATCCTGCATGCAATTTCCAGATTAATAGTAAAGCCTTAATTATGTTTCCTTCTCTTCTTCAAAGCTGCCACATTTTGCTCTCATTACCTTAAAGCTATTCTAAAAAACAGTCAACTGAAACAGACAGTATTTATTATTTCTCATTGTTTGTGAGTTGGCTCCATCTTTCTGATCTAGGTTGGTTATGCTGAGGCTGGCATGTCTAGGTTGTCTTTGTTTATATGTGTGAAGGTGGGTAGGCTGGTTTGTCTAGGAGCTGTTGTGAGCAGCTTATCTTGGAGTAAATGGTCTCCTAGCCTCTCGTAGACAAACATTGGTTGATTCACATGAAGTCTCAGGGTTTCTAGGCACAGAAGTAGAGGACAGGCACCCAGCAAATTTCATGCCTTCCTCTCATTCCTAATGCATCTCTCTCTACTGAAATGCTGTTCCTGAACTTACCACTTGACAGACTCATCACAAAACAACAAAAAATAGTTCTGCTCTTACAGCCTGCTAAGTAAGCTGGATGTCAGAGAAAAGTTGAATGTAGCCTAGGCTTTCCAGAAACTTAGGGGATATTTGTCATTAAAAAGTCAGGTTAAATGCTACCTATTAACTCCCCTTCAAATTTACTTTAATTACTTTTTAAATTAAATGTATATGTGGGTTGAGGTGAGGAGGGGGTTATGTACTTATCAACACAGGTGCCCTTGGAAACTAGAAGATGGCCTTGGATCTGCTATAGGTAAATGTGAACTGTCTGATAGAGTGTTGGGAATGGAATTCAAGTTCTCTGTAAGAGCAGTACTGCTCTTAACCACTGAGCAATCTCTCCAGCACCTCCCCCCAAGTCCTTTATAATACCTTCTTTGATAAAAGTAATTTTACCTCTCACTAAACTCCCTTGGTAATTTAATGGCCCTTTTCAAGGTTCTACTTAGTTACTTTGTGGTATTAAAGTTAACAATTCCATGTATATTTCTTTCAATATTTTATTTACTCATTTTTTTCATGTATTCAACAAAAATTTATCAGACACCAAGTATCAGAAACTCTCTAGACATTTAGAACACTACTGTAAACAAAACTGAAAATTGTTTGGAAAGAGGAAAGGGAAGAGGGGAATTATGTTATTATATTACAATCTTAAATAATGAAAGGATTTTTTAAAATATAACATTCCCTGCTCTCTTTAGCCTTCATTTTAGTGGAATGGGGAAGTTACAGAAAACATAATGAGGAAATTATATAACATGTTCTCAATGAATGAGTACTAATAAATATACGTAAATATATATTGGCATTAAATAATGGATACACACATTACTTTGGGGCAGTAGCTGAGGAAGCACCAGGTGTGAAAGGCAGCACTTTTTTTTTTTGGAGACAGGGTTTCTCTGTATAGCCTCGTCTGTCTTAGAACTCATTCTGTAGACCAGGCTGGCCTCAAAATCAGAAATTGCCTGCCTCTGCATCTGAGTGCTAGGATTAAAGGTGTGTGCTGCCACTGCTTAGCTTTAGCTAAAAGGAACACCTTTTAGCCTAATCTTCTGGTGACTCCTCTAGTGAAAATGGTCCACAGATGTCTGGCAGTAGCTTTGCTGCTAAAAGGAGTATGCATAAGTCCTACATGATTCCTCTCATGAGCCTACAGGTTGGCTGTGAGGAGGAAGAATTATTTTTTTATAGCTTTTTGTTGTTGTTACTGTCATCATTGTGAACCAAGAGTTTAATTAGGGCTATATGCAGGGGCATGAGTGAAAGGCTATTTACGGGAACATGGACAACTTACCAGTCACTACATAATGGCTTTATCACTAAAGAAAGTCTCTTTATCCTCAGCAACCATTAACTGCCTGAAAGTGTTCAGGGTCTCATGAGCTCAACCCCTCCCGTGTTGGTATCTTCAGGGGTCCAATCTTGATGACAGTTGCTGAGTGTTCAGGAGTGCAATGGCCTTGACATACCCAGATGACAGCACCCCACGTCTTACTCCAGCTCTTACAGTCTCTCTTCCCTGATGGTTCTTGAACCTTGTGGAAATCAATGTAGATGCTGATTTAGTGCTGAGCATTCAGCAGTCACCTTTCTCTCAGCACTTCGACCAGTTATGAGTCTCTGTAATAACTACTGCTCTCTGCAAAATGAAGCATCTTTGACCAAAACTGACAGCACAAATATTTTATGGTAATAAAAAATATTTGAAGGCAATTTCACCATCATAGTATCTCTGTTTAGCAAAACAACAGCAAAAGCTTCTTCACTAGGGCCTATGACCTCCCCAACCATGGGTTTTGGACCAAATTTATAGTAACCTGTGAGTTTCCATCTGTGGAGTGGGCCTTAAATCCAGGAAGAAAGCACTTGGTCACCAGAGAATAACCGTGCCAGTGGTTATTACACCAGTGGGCACATCTGGATTGGCAGCTTGGTGATGTAGCACAGGTTGTCCACAGGCCCACATCTGAATATGACTATCGATAACAGTCCTTACCCCAGCAGCATGTGTAGTTCCTTCTGGCACCAGTAAAGCTAGCCAGCAGGGAGGCAGCTTCCATCTCCATCCCAGCTTATTTCTTCATGTCCTGTGAACAAACATGTAGTGTCTTCAGCAACAGGATTTTTATCATCTACTTTTGGTAGGCAACCAACAGTGGGGGAATTCAAGGATTTCTCACATATACTGCATGTGATAAGATTTTGTGTGTTATCAGATCTTGACTAGTTCTGAAGCCTGACAAAAGTTTCTATGACACCTAGTCTGAGTGTCTTCTTTGCTGAGCTGAAAAATGAGGAATATCCTTTAAGGTATTGGGGAAATTCTTCATATTTGTAAGTTTTGGGGGCCCATCAAGTCTTTCTTGGTGTCCCTTACAGTGGAGTTCCCCCACTACTCTGATGAATAACGACAGGCTCATGGGAGAACTGTTCTACGCTGGAGAAAATCCTGGTTGCAACTCTATTAGAGACTTTGTGATAATGCAGTTCATTTAGGAACCCTCCCTGGAACCGGAAGTGTCTATCCTTGCTCTTCTGGGATTATATGGGTTCTAGCAAGAAATATATCCATCTTTAGGCCCAGAATAGTTCCTTCCATGGAGTGAGTAGGGAAGATATTTGGTTTCACTAATTGAGTAATATTGTCATTTACTCAATTAGATTCCTAGGAATTACTATAGACATTTTCCTTATTTGTACTTCCTATTTCCAAAAAAGTGTCTTGGGGAGTCTGAAAGGTATTCCCATATTCTCTCTTGTTGTAGTTTTAGTTTCTTGTAGGACATCTCTGGAGACAATCAGTAACTTCTGTTAAGGACATATACTTAGGAAAGACCTTAGAGAAGAACGTAGACTATGGCAAACACTTTCCTGGAATTTTATTTCAGACCTTCCATTATTTTAATCAGGTTTCTGCCTTTTGATTCCCAATTCTCTTTCAAAGCAGACATGTCCCTGCAGTTTCTGGTAATAATAAGCTGCTTCAGGATTGGCCAAGGAAGAATTCCATCCTTGCTATGCTCTTCTGGTCGCAGCCATGAGTGAAGAGTCTTATAGAGTCTTTGGAGTTTCTGCTTGCTGGGTTTTAGTGAACTGGATCCAGTGTTTGAGAACCCGAGAGATTGGCTCTCTCTTCTGGACAGCAAATCTTTGCATTGATTTAAATTCTAGCTTTTCAGATTCAACATCATTCCAGGATGTTTCACTCTGAAAGGAATGGAGATTAAAGTCATTCTTAACAAGAGTTTTTGGAGTCAACTTTGGCAATTCAGTGTCTGCCGTGTTGCATTTTCGGAGGGCTTTTGCAATAGCTGGTGGATGTTTCATGGTGGAAAGTTCTTTCTCAGTTGAAGTTCAAATGGGGTAACCCTGGGCTTCCTGCCAAACTGTTGTATGACTGGCTTTCTGCTCTGAAGTCATCTATCCAAGCAGTAGTTATTGGGCAGTGATCCTATGTTAGGCAATGTGCTAAGACCCAGAGATACAAAGAATTAGGTACGGTGCTCTACCCTTTGCCTGGAGCATTCACCGTGTTATCAGTGTAATGTCAGTAATGAGGTAATGAACTGCCTCTCATTCTCTCTGTGTATACTGATGATGTTCTGTGCAAGTTCCTATGCCTCTGTGCCTGAGGGATTTCAGTCATACAGGGAAAGTAGAGGTGCCAAAAGTCAATGTCCCTAGGAGCAGCTTTCCCCTGATAGTGGATAGGAATTAGTGGGTAGACAGCTCAGCTTCTGTTCTCATTCAGCCCTTCATTTATCAAGTTATGGACAAATGAGAGTGGGTAAGTGACTCAGCTCCATCACTTCTCTGGTAAAACAATTAGGCATGCTGTTCCAGAGGACTGTAATAGGACTAAGCCTCAGTTGCCCATTGCCATAGCTGGGTAGGTGATGCATTCATAAACTGACAGACCTTTGCTGCCTGACTTCCCCACATCTTACCTGTGTTTCTGCACTTACATGCAAATGAATTGCTAGCTGACAAGCCTTGTCTCAGACACTACTTTTGGGGCCACGAATCCTAAGCCAAGATGCAAATATAGAGGTCTTTGTTGCTGCTCATTAGTGAAGAAGTCAGACAGAATGGGTAATTACAGTACCGTATAAGAGCTCACATGTATTGTGCAGTCTCAAAGCAATTCTAATAAAACTAGGAAATATTACCATTCCCATTTGCATAAAAGGAAATCAAGACTTTTAAAGGCTAAAGGTGGTCTAGGGGCCATTTCAGCCATTAATTACAGGGGAATTAAACCCAAGCCTAGATGATTTCAGAGTTGGAATTCTTCCATGGAGTTACCTGTCTCTCTCTTAGTTCTTCCTTCTCTGTTGGCAGATGGTTTCAGAAATGTTTGATTTATTAGAAAAATCTTAACAGGTACTGAAGTCATGGGCCATAAACATGGCCAGGTGTCTAACTAATGGTTGTCATCTATCACGCGGAACCCTGGCATGGAGCAGTAAGGCAGTGAGACCTAGAGCTGCTTCAGGCTTGAGACACATTTACCCCTTTAAGCCAGCTGGTTACTTGTAGCAGCTTCCCTTTCTTCACATGCCAGCCAGGCCCTGGGAACACATGAGTTGCTTTGTGAAGCATAGCCTGTGGGCCCGGGCATCTTGGATAGCAGCAGCTGAGACTGTGACCGAGGCCCCAGTCTTCCCAGCTCACTGCTTCTCTGCTGCTGTAATGTGAGGTTGGGGAGGAGGGGAGGCACTTTTGCCTTCACTTTTGAGGTCACTAAAGGCACCAGCTCATCACTGGCAGCTAATTGCTGCTTTCTCCAAGTGACCCGTTTGTCCATTCCAGGTTACTGGGGCACACTTTCCCATGGGAAGCCAGAGAAAATGAGAGGCAACTCATCATCGAACTTGCTGAGGAATGCTGTTATGGGGAGCAGCACTAGGCACGTGGGGAGAGCAGGCAGATCACTCTAGGAGCTGGCCAAAATGTTTCTCATCCTCAGGATTCTGCAGTAAGAGGCCAGCAGCCTCTTTCACTCTCTCAATCCTCCCACTAATTGAAAAACAATAATTCACCAAAAGTTGTAATTCCTACAACTCTATGGTAACCTACTCCATTTTGTTCTGAATAGAAATATCTAGATCAGAATTTGCAGCCAGGAGTCCAGGCTGTGTGACTTTGGAGCCAGAGGTCTTGCCCCTTCCAACCTCAGCTTCTTCATCAGTCAAATGAGATGTGAACTTTACTCTTAGGCCCTGAAGACAATATGACACAGCCAGGATTTTTTCCATTGCCTTTTATGGTAGCAAAGCATACATTGATTCTTAGACAGAGTGTTATATAGCAAACACTCAGTAACTTAGCTGCCGGGTTGGGCCATGCCACCACACTGAAACTGTGAAGGTGGTAAGAAGTATTTATCCACTGTACTTAATGTCATCTATGCTGTCTCTGCAAACCACAAGCACCCAGAATGCTACTCTTACTCCTGCTTTTTTCAGAAAACCCTGGAATTTGGATTAAAAAAAAAACCCAGAAATCCTGGAATATGATTTCCACCACTTAGTGACTGCATCAATTTGGTTTAATCTATTTTCTGTTTCTCTGTTAGAAAGGACTGGTTTAGAGGATCTGGTTAAAATTGTGTATTGCTTAAAATATAAATGCAGACTCAGACAGTTGGAAGCAGGTCTTTAATTGGCCTAAACCTGCAGTGGGTTGCTTGCAAATCAGGACTAATACAAGCTGCCTACCTCAGAGGCAGTCATGTGGATGGGCAGGTGCAAGTGAAGCATTTCTTTCTTTCTTTCTTTCTTTCTTTCTTTCTTTCTTTCTTTCTTTCTTTCTTTCTTTCTTTCTTTCTTTCTTTCTTTCTTTTTCTTTCTTTCTTTTTTGACAGGTTTCTCTATGTAGCTTTGGTGCCTGTCTTGGATCTCACTCTGTAGACCAGGCTGGCCTCAAATTCACAGAGATCCACCTGCCTCTGCCTCCCGAGTGCTGGGATTAAAGGCATGTGCCACCACCGCCTGACGTGAAGCATTTCTTAGGGTGGTACCTGAGCTGTTCTGATCCACAGTAATAATCCTAACCTAAAGTTACCTCATATAGGCTCAAGTAGATCATTTCCACTCAGCCTAAATGTCTTTCCTAGGTAGCAGTTGCTTTCTCATGACATTCTTACCTGTCCAAGGAATTTCAGTAAGGAAGAAGCGTTCAGAGGACTTTCCTTGCTCCCAGAAAAAGACACCACATAGATACCAGACTAGGCAGACAGTCTGTAAAATGTGTTCTCATATGAAACAACCAGAGAGTGGGCCCAGGAAGTGGTATATATTTCCTACAAGGACTCTGTAGAATATGAGGATCTGCAGATCAAATGTCTGGAATTTGAAAGAGAGAAAGAGCATGTGTGTATGTGGTTGTGTGTGTGTGTGTGTGTGTGTGTGTGTGTGTGTGTGTGTGTGTGTGTGTGTGCATTGAGGGAAGAAAGCTGGAAGAGCATGCCAGCCCTGGTCTCACATTTTCTTTTCAGAATAGAAAAAGCTTCCAGTAGCCTTTGCTTTCTTGGCTTTGCTTGGCATTCTTATTCAAATCAGACCCCAATCAGAGGGGAGTTCACATCAGTCAGTCAGACATGCTTGCATGTGTGGGTTTTAATTACCCTGTGCCTTCCAACCATTCACACCCAGAGGAAATCACTGCAGTTGAGGATCTGGATTGCATTCTCAAAGGAAGACTCCAATGAATAGGAAGTGCAAAACCTGTGAAATGTGATGAAAATCGGTATGCAGTCATGGATGGGGGAAGGCTGTGGACAGTCAGGGAGATTGCAGGAACTAGAAGAAAGCCCACAGACCCCCAAGTTCTGGATGCTATCTTATCCCAGGAGTCTCTGACTCAGTATATTTGACAAAAACTTGTTATTTGTCTGTGTTTGAGACAGAAATCTTTTAATGATAGGAACAGAGCCTCATAAGGCTCAAGGGGACCTTAGCGGGCACCTGATCTACTCAGCCATCTGAAACTGCATTGGTAAGTGCTCTCTAGAGAAACAAAGGCAACAGTCAGTGTTCTGTAGAGACACGGGAAATGGATGGGTAAATAGATAGATAGATAGATA